AACTGGTCCAGGTGAAAGGACTGAATAACAAATAGTCCAGTCTTCCCTTGTTTAGGGTTGTATTCAACACCCTGGGTTGTGGTAGGTCTGTAATGTGACCGACCACCTGTGAAGCTATCTGCTTCTGTGCCAAGTATGTGATCATTTTACACACACACACACACACACACACACACACACACACACACCTACCTCACACACTCACAGGGCTGGAGATGTAGCTCAGTTGATGGAGTGTTTGCCTAGTATGCCTAAAACCCTGGATTTGGTTCTCAACACCAAATAAACCAAGCACGATAGTTCGTGCTTGTAATTTCTTGGCTAAATATGGAATTTAAGGCCAGCCCAGGTTATATGAGACCCTGTTTCTAAAACAGAACAAACCAGCCACAAACACACGGTTTTCCTAACTTCTTCCTTTCTTGGTCTTTGGCTTGATTCCTTGACCTTTCTAATCTCCAATCTCCCCTTTATTCCTTCCCATAAACAAGGGGTGGCAGGCTGTGGAATGTGAACTAGATTGTTCAGTAGTTTCTTTTGGCTTTCGTGGGGGTCCAGATTGTAACTTAAGAGTCCAAGGGAAATTGTCAATCAGTTCTACCAATTGGAGTCGCCTGACTTTAAGAATGCCAACCTTGAAGAATGTTCAGATTCTTGGCAGCCTCTTCTAAAGGGCTGAATTCATAATATCCACCCAGGAGCTGTGAGAGTTAGTGAAGCCCCAGGGGACCACATCTGAGCTAAAGATAAGGGTGTATTAGCAGACCAGGAGGAGGCAGGAGGAAGACTAAACAGCAAACCTAAGAAGGCATTTTTGGATGTAGTTGCAGCCTGTTGTTCCTAAGGAGTATCTATCATATTGAAGCAATTTTACCTCCCTTGAGGACTCTCATTTACCCGTGCTGACAAGCTGACTGAACTCAGCTGTATCCTTCATGTTCCATCTACACCTAGATATCTGGAATCCTATGGGGGTTAAGTCAACTTCCCCTTGCCTCTCTGGTAGAGTGACTGGAGAACTTGGTCTTTGTTCTGGACACCCACTGCATTGTTGGTACCTGGGCAGGGAACATGCACCATTTGAGAATGTTAACTGCGTCCTGCCTTGAGAGCTGACCTTAAGTCAAGAGATTTAACATCTCCTTAGTCACCGTGAGTCAGATCACGGGGGGGGGGGGGGGGGGGGGGGNGGGGGGGGGGGGGGGGGGGGGGGGGGGGGGGGGGGGGCAGCTCAGGTTTGGCATCCACTACTGGGGTCATCCTTGCAGACTCATGGAAGTTTCCCTTGCTTCAGGCTTCTACCTGACTCTGTAAAGCCCCCCTTTTCTGCCATCTCTTTCAGCACTGTCTTCCTCTGTCCACCCCACCAATGCGATCCCTCAAGTTCGGCCCCAAGTCTAACCAGGGTATCTCCTCTAGTTCCCCTCCCCAGGGAGATTCATGTGTTCCAACTTGGGCCCTTCCTTGTTACCTAGCTTCTCCGGGTCTGTGGATTGTAGCATGATTATCCTTTATTTTATACCTAATTATTATACCTAATATCCACTTATGAGTGAGTCCATACCATGTTTGTCTTTCTGGGTCTGGGTTACCTCACTCAGGATTTTTTTTTTTCTAGTTCATTCATCTGCCTTCAAATTTCCTGATGTCATTGTTTCTAACAGCTGAGTAATTCTCCATTGTGTAAATGTACCACATTTTCTTTATCCATTCTTTGGTTGAGGTGGCATCTAGGCTGCTTCCAGGTTCTGGCTATGACAAATAAAGCTGCTGTGAACATAGTTAAGCAAGTGTCCTTGTAGTATGATTGAGTATCCTTTGGGTATATGCCCAAGAGTATCGCTGAGTCCCAATTTTCTGAGAAACAGCCATATTGATTTCCAAAATTGGCTGTACGAGTTTGTGTTCCCCTTCCTCCACATCCATTTCAGCACGAGCTGTCATTTGTGTTTCTGATCCTAGCCATTCCGACAGGTGTAAGATGTACTTTTAGTTGTTTTAATTTGCATTTTCCTGTTGTCGGAGGATGGTGAACATTTCTTTAAGTGATTCTCTGCCATTTGAGATGCTCTGTTGAGAATTCTCTGTTTAGGTCAGTACTCCATTTTTTAATTGGATGACTTAGTTCTTTGATGTCTAGTTTCTTGAGTTCTTTATCTATTTTAGAGACCAGCCTTCTGTCAGATGTGGAGTTGGTGAAGATCTTGGTTGTCATTGGAGATCCTTCATCCAGTGACTGATGGAGGCAGATTCAGAGACCCATGACCAAACCTTGTGATAGGGGAGTCCTGCTGAGGAGAAGGGGGAGGAAGTATAGGAAAAGTGGGGCCAGGAGCGTCTCAGGAAAACAGAAACCAATAGTCGTGGCTCCTGGGAACTCATGGATTCTGAACCAACAACCAGGGAGCTTTCATGGGACTGACCAGGGACCTCTGCAGATATGTGACAGGTGTGTAGCTTGTTCTGTGTGTGGGACTCCCAGCATTAGGAACAGGGGCTGTCCCTGATACTCTGACTGGCTCTTGGAAACCTATTTCTCATGCTGGGTTGCCTTGCCCAGCATCTATACATGGGAAGGTGCTGGTCTTATGGCCGCTTGATATGCCCTGCTTTGCTGATGCCCACGGGAGGCCTGCTCCTTTCTGAGCCATTCCCACCCTGTTCTCCATGAACTCCCAGCAGTCTCTTCCTAAGCTCTGAAGTGAAGGAATGCCTTCTGACAACTGGACTGGCTTGTAGGTGTCTGCAGAATCACAAGTGGGCAGCCAAGGGCATGGCACCGGCCTGTAATACCAGGCTGAGAAGGAGCAAGCTCTAGGCTGGCCTGAACTACATAGGAAAGCCCCGTCTCAAACAAAGAAAACAAACAAAACCAGTGGGAATTTGAACATGTGTCCAGGTGCACTGTGGTTGCTGGGGAGCAGGAAAGGTGCGGGGTGTCTCCTGGCAGGGATGCCCCTTCACTTATCCCCCTTACCCTCCCGCCCCGCCCCAATGCTTCCCGCTCTGCAGCCTGTAAACCCAGTGAGGGGGACCCTTCCAAGAGACACGTACACTCGATGTTTTCCTTGTCGAGTCAGTCCACTCTGATTTCAGGAGTGGAGCGGGACTCACCCTTGGGCATTCTAGGGTGTCACCTCTGGCATTTGCTCTCACTGCAGAAAAACAAGTTCAAATGCAGAGCACAGACACCAGACGGTCAGCAAAGCTGTCCTGAGAGTGGGGGCAGGCTCTGAGGAGGGTGGCACGGAAGGGTGGGGTGCGGGAATGGGGGTCAGAGCCCGGAGGTCTCCAGGGTCTACTAGCCAGGTGGGCGACTCTGTGCACCAGGTCTCCTGGGCTCTCCAGGTTTCTGGAGAAGGCGGAGGTCCCGGGCGGGGCAGGCTGGGTTGGGAGCAGAGCAGCTGCGCCCGCCGCCTGGGAGCCGGCGCCCTCCCAGCAGAGCATGCAGGACGTGCGCGACGTGTGGCAGCCTCTGCGCAGACTTTTCCACTGCAGTGTGGGGTTCCGCGAGCGCCTCCAATCACAGCCCAGCTTCATCGCGACGTGTACAGCTCGCCGCTAGGCAGGGCAGGGCAGTGCTTTCTGTGCGGAGGCTTCACTCGCTAAAGACACATTTAAAGTGCCATGCTTCCCCGCCAAAGGATCCCCCAGACCGTTGCTGAATCAATGGCTTCTTGCAGTTCACTGCCTCTCGTGTATCGCCAGCCTATGCAAAGTGCGAATATTGGGAAAGGAAGCGGGGGCATGTTCACATCAAACTAAAAGTGGCAGGGTGTACCGGAGGAAGTGACATGAGTTTGGGATCTCGTCACCTATCGACGAGAAGGTGAAGGTGGGAATGGGCTCCACGTTTTATTCATTACTTGCAGAGATAAAGGTCTATGAGATTTGGTCTACGTTGAAAGGGAAACTGAAAATACCAACCCCTCCCCTCTACTCCAAAGTTCCGTTTCTATTGAACCTCCTTTACTTTTTTTGCTCTCTCCAAGTGCCTAGTAATGCGGGACTGGGTGAGGGGTGACAACACTGCCCAACCTTGGGTTTCTAGGGCATTCAGAAAAAAAAAAGTGCCATCCCGAAGGTGGCAGCGTAGTGGGTGATGACGCGCAGGTGTTAACAGGAGGCAGCTCTGACCTGGGTTTTCTCTTGGACTGTGCCGACCCCAAAGCTTCGAACTGTGATGCTCGCTATTGGGGCCCCACTGCTTGAAAGGCCGAACTGGGAAAATACCTTTTAAAACAGCAACTAGAGATGCCCTTAGGGGATAGGCTTAGCGAAGTAAAACAGGGCTAGAGAGCCAGACGGGGTTGCAGGAGCCGAGCGTGCTGCCCTCGCCTGCCCGCAGAGGGCAGCAGCAGGCTATTTCTTGGCCTTGCCCACTCTTCTCTCCACGTGAAAGGGGGCTGGGACGCAAAGAATGCGGCCCGCCCCGAGACTGACGCGCCGCGTAACCGGTCAGATCTTAAAAGGCCGGGCAGTGCGTGTGGCTTCCCGATAGAGCAGAAGAGGAGCAAGTGGCAGTGCTGGGTGGCGGGAGCGCGGCTGTCACTGTGCTGGAGCATCCCTGAGCTTCTGAACAGAGCCGACCAGTCAGCCAGCATTGCGCGCCGCCGCCAGCCCGCGCCGATCTCAACCGTCTCGTGTCTCCGCTCAGGCGATCCTCCAAGACTTCGCACAAAGCACATTTTTCAAAGCAGCGCAAGGGAGCGCCCAGCCGCGTGCAGGCGGACGCACCCTTCCTGTCCTTTGTTCCGGGGGGGATCTGCAACTGCTCTTCTCCCCAAGTTGGAGTCTCTTCTGGGGTGGCGGGTCGCCGAGTGCAGCTACGAAAATGCCTTTGGAACTGACTCAGAGCCGGGTGCAGAAGATCTGGGTGCCTGTCGATCACCGACCCTCGTTGCCCAGAAGTGAGTGCAGCTGCGCGGGGGGCTAGGTTGCAGACAGCGCCGCGTGCAGATCCCGGCCATTGTGTGTGCAGTGGCTTTGTGCCGGTTCCCCTCTGCGGGAAGCGCACTCGTGCCGGTTGGCCGGGCGAGGCGGGGGTGGCGGCGGGCTGCGTTTCCCTGGCTGAGCTGCAGGGGCGCTGTGGTTCCGGAAACCTCCAGTGTGCCTGGCCTGGCCTGAGATCATGGAGCCAGCGCCTCCCAGAGGCTAAGACCCGGCGCCCCGACTGCACCTGGGGCTCGGCCGCCGTCGCCACCGCCCCTTTTCTTGGGCTCTCTCAGGTTCATTCTCACTCTCCCCCCCTCCCTCGTATCTCTCTGTACCTCCGTCTATTCCCATATTCACCCTCACTGCGGCGATTGCAGGCTCTTCGTTTCAGGGATGGTCTATGCGTTTGCTGACTACACGCTGGTGGTGTTTCACAGGTGCGCTCATTTCCCCGGAGCACGGAATTTGCTGGCGGTTTGTCTTCGTGACCCACCTGTTGCTGTCGGTAAACGATTTGGGAAGGTTACGTTCAGTTCCATCCCTAGCTTGGGAAAGGTACCTCTGAAAAGACGGATGGAATTGCTCTAAGGCGATGTGTTCCTTCTAGGCAGCACGCCCAGGAGCCCATGGGGGTAGACAGAAGTGAGCTGCCTAGCGGGCATGAGGCTCAGACCACGTTTGTAGCTTGAGTTGTAACCACGGAATCCAGTGACAAAGCCGGGAGGTGGTTTCCTGTCACTTTGGGGGACACTTGAGCGTCGGATTTCAGGGTAGGCTTCTCCACTGCCACGTTTCACAGGATAGATGGTCATCACAGGACATGACAGCTCTTTTGGAGCATTGGATGCCTGAGTCACCAGCTTCCCTGCCGACCTGAGTCCAGCTTCCCTGTGGTGCAGTGTGAGACACCTCCAGCATACTGCTGGACCTGAGGGCGTTGGTGGAACCCATTCCTAAGACAGGGCTCCTTTTCTCTTTTGACAAGGAAGTCAGGGGCAAGGGCTTGGCAGGTCTTCTTTCCTAAACCCTGTCAGACATCTTTATGCACTGGGGCTGCCTTTATAAAAAAGCTCCAGGGAATAGCCAAACCTGGTGCCACACCTATAATCGCATTGAGCTGTAGCCGGTTAACCGAGGAGGCTGAGGTTAAGAGAACCATGAACCTGGACTGCAGAGTGAGGCTCTACCCAATAAATAAATAAGTAAACAACAACAACAAACCAGGAAAAGTTCGTCAAGACCGAATTTAAACCACTGGACCTACCCCCTCACCACCCCCCTCTCCCCCTGCCTGAGACAGGGTTTCTCTCAGTAGCTTTGGAGCCTGTCCTGGAACTCACTCTGTAGACCAGGCTGGTCTTGAACTCAGAGATCTGCCTGCCTCTGACTCCCGAGAGCTGAGATTAGGTGTTTGCCACCACTGCCCGGCCCTTCTGGCCTTTTTAATAAGGAAAATTGTAACACATTTTTGGACAGGACTTGGTCACCCACAACAATGACTGGCTTCATATGTATATGTAAAGCCGGGAGTTGCATGTGTGCGTGTTCTTCCCTTGTTTGGGTCTTCAGGAACCATGGCAACTTTTGCAAGGACCCTAAGCTCAAGTGGGGCTGACTGTAGCAATATTGAGAGACATCACAGTGCAGCTCTGTACCCCTCCTCCAGGCTTCAGAACCTGATCATTAGATTCCGTGAGCTTGCACGTCTGTCACGGAGTTGAGAGATTTGCAAACAATTGCTGTCAGAGCCATTTAGAGCTTGAGGTGTGTGGGTCTAAAGCTGACGGATTAAGGTGACCAGTTCACCAGCTTCTGGAATTCTTCCCTGTGACACTGGGGTGTAGCCTCAGACACATCCCTTCACATGCGAATATCTACAGCCATGGTGTTTACTACATATCCATGTTTTAAGTCCTATCTTTCCTAAACGCAATTTGTTTCTGACTGCAGTAGAGAAAAGAAATGGGTTTTGTGCTGACATTGGGAATCTTGTGGACTTCTTTTTCTTTTTTGGAGACAAGGTCTCTCTGTGCCCTAGCTGGCCTGGAACTTTGTAGACTGGGCTGGCCTCAACTCAGATGGGATTAAACAGGTAAGCAGATCTCTGAGTTCAAAGCTAGCCTGGTCTCCATAGCTTGTCTTGAAATTTAAAACAAACTGAGTATGTTTGCCCGTGAAGCACAGTAATTCAGTGCCAAGTTTCTTTACCAACATTGTGATGAATGCTTCTTGCAAAACTGGAAGTTTCTGTCAGTTTAAACCACAATTCAGAGAGACTTGACTGTATTTGCAAATTAGCTTAGGTGATCTTCAGTTCTACTAGCAGGAGCTGCCTTTCCTGTTACCTCCACTGAATATCTGCAGCCTGCTACATAGTTGGGTGCTGCTACCTGCTTGGAACCCGAGTTTCCTCAGTTCCAAGAAGATTACGTTTTTGTATATGTAGTGTATCTGGGCTGTGAGCTATCCCAGCCTTGGGCAGTGTGATGGGTGGCCTGGGTTATAATCTATGTAGGTACAAAGATCCCATTGCTAATGCAAAGGGACATTAAGACTGATTACACAGAGTTACTTTAAACAACAGCTATAAAGAACATCTCCTTTAAAAATACTCTGACAAGGAGGGTGGCACATGCCACGGGGACGATCAGAAGAGGACAGCTCTGTGGAGTTGGTTCTCTCCTATCCTTAAGTGGGTTCTAGAGATGGAACTTAAGTCCTTGGCCTTGAGAGGCAAGCAAAGCCATCTTGCCAGTCCTCAACTTTTTGTTTTTCCCAGATACATGGGAGTAAGATACCAGTTTATCTTTGGTTAGGATTTAGAATAGAGTACATGTGAAGGAAGATGGGCATGGTATTCAACATCTTGTAGAATTCTGTTGATGCCCAGCCAGGCATATGTATAGCAGCCGTTTCAGGTGAGTTATGTGGTGGTTCATAGGGTGGCTTTTTGTGAGTCTTACTTAAGGAACCATGGCCTTAAACTATGGGCAATACTGGGCAATACTTTTAGTATGAATCTTCCCAAACTGCCACAGGGCCTAGCTCTCTTTAGACAATGGGTTTTCCCCTCATATATCGGTTATTGTTCTCATTGCTGTGACCGAAGGGACTTCTGGAAGGAAGTATTTATTTTGACTAATTTGAGGGTCTAGTCCATTGTGGCTGGAAAGCAGTGGAATGTGAGGCAGTTGATCTCTGCATCGGCAGGCTGGAAGCAGAGAGATTTGAAAGTTGGTGTTCAGCTCCCTTCCTCTTTATTCAGGCCTACCACACCCGTGGAATAGTGCCATCCACAGTTAGAGTGGGTCTTCCCACCTTGGTTAACCCAGTCTGGAGGCATTCTCATAGATACCCCAGGGGTGTGTTTCCATCTAGTCCAGTTGACAAATGACGATCAACCATCATCACACTTTAACAGAACATCTGTGCATTCCTTTATCCGTATTTAAGTTAATACCTAGATTTGTTGCTAAAAAAAATCTGGTATGAAACATTGAACATTAACTGGGTAGTGGTGACTCACATGTAATCCCAGCACTTGGGAGGCAGAGGTAGGCAGATCCAAGACACCCAGAACTAGACAGAGAAACCCTATCTCAAAAAACACAGAACAAAACATTGAACATTTATATGAAAGGAAAGGAGACATGTTTGTCTTAGGAAATCTTATGTTGAACTCAATAAATTGAATTTGTTGGGAAGAAATAGCAATGGTAAGGATTGGATCCAGGGAGTATTGTGAGATGGAGGATGAGGGTTCATGGCTGGTGTTTCTTTTCTTTCTTTTTCTTTTTTTCTTTTTTTTTTTGTTTGTCTTTCAAGACAGAGTTTCTCTGTGTAGCGCTGGAGCCTGTACTGGAACTCACAGAGATCTGCCTGTATCTGCCTCCTGAGTGCTGTGATTAAAGGTTTACCCTGCCACTACCTCCTGACTTCTCTCTCTCTCTCTCTCTCTCTCTCTCTAT